AAATTCTATGTATGTGTTTTCAGTCAGTTCAAGAAAATTGTTTCTGTCAGTGGGTAAAGGTTATACACCCAGAACAATTCAAGCACCGTATCCAGTATTTTTGACACTTTTACGCCATCAGTGTATCTTAGGGCCAATTGCTTCACTGTGACCTTGACCTGCTTCCATCTGACCTTGTGACCTGCTGTTTCCATGTAGAGATTAAGCCAGCGATTGAACAAAAACACAATAAAAGTTTTTTACAGTTCTACAATCACCCCTTTGACTCTAAGTGACCCACGGCACTCACTGCATCAACATAGAAATATTTTTCCCAAATATAGAGCTTTATATTTTACCCAAAATATTTTGTGAAAGCCTCTCTAATATAAATTATGTTTCTTGGAATTAGGCTAAGAATTCCCTAAGGGTTCCCTAGTTACACTGCACAGGATTCAGGTCTCCATATAAATACTTTTCAGTACTTTGCTGTAGCTTTTATTCCTGTCCCAGTATCACAAATGTATTAAACTTTAGGTTTAAATTGGTTCAGTAAAACAGGTTTGAATTTTGGCAGGGTATCCATTGACAAGAAAGGCCAAATGTGGATTTAGCAAAATAAAGCTTAAAAAGTAATTTGCATCACAGGGCAACAAAGCAGGGCTGTCTAAGATTGTTGTGTTGACATTTAGACAACGTACAAACATTAAATGCCCCCATGGTAATATTGAAAAAAATGTATTTCAAAGCAATATTTTGGGGGGTATTTTACCTTAATCACAGCATTGTAAACAAATATATATATATAAATAAATAAATAAAAATTGTAAACAAAATATTAACACATCATCCACTGCTTTCCAGAAAAAATATTTTACACCACTAAATTATTTTTATTTCACCTATATGAATTTGTTTGGAATAAAATAACATAAGTGAAATATTGAAACATATTTTATTTTTATTTAAATTTTTAGAATATTCTTTAAGTCATCTAACCTGCCAATGTAATTAGGTCTGTTTGTTCTTTTCACCTGTTTTGACCTTGAATGTGACCCTGAGAGTTGTTATACGAAAATAAAAACAGCAACACAATTACCTTAAAATGTGCTGTTCGTTCATCACTCGCTGGCTCAGTCTTCCCACACACATCATCCTTGAGTGGTGATGCATCTCTGTCTTGGCACACACATTTGCATGATTGCACTCCCCAGACTGAAGACTGATCAATGTGTTCATTGTTCACCCAGGCCTTGAAAATGAAAAGATGACAAACTCAGGTGGTTGAAAAAAATCAATTTAGAAAAACTCAAAATAGCAACAGATGTTAGTTCATGAATACACAGTGACGTTGGATTCTGCTGCTTCAATGTAAACCTTACTT